TGGATAAGGCGTCGGACTTCGGATCCGAAGATTGCAGGTTCGAGTCCTGCCGGGGTCGGAATTTTGCAAATGGTTGTGGAAGACGTCCAGGTAGCAACTCATCAAGTTTACGGTGAGAGTTAATATCCTAGCGTCTTTTTTATCTAGTAGCGGTACTTTGCGCATATAGAGCGCGCCCGGTCAAGTCAGTTGTTAATGTGATACCTCTTTCATACGTGTTTTGTACAGTATATATTCTAATAAATAAATCATATTGATTGGTTTATTGTATATTCAATGGGAATTAGTTTTTCTACATCTTGCAACGGAATGCCCGGGTCACAGTGCGCTTAATCATCACGTTTTTTGGGCTGATCGTGGAATTAGACCGCGTCAAGCTCGCTCTAAATCTTTATCGTGCACAACATGGACGAAAAGAAACGTGTCGACATTGCACGTTTGTATGGTACGGAAATGCATAAGCGTCCTTTTCTTTATGGTATGAGCTGTAGAAAGAGAGAGGTTGGAACCCATAACTGGAAGACAAAATGTGCACCATGTGAATAAGGTATCTTCCTATCAGTCTGGATTTAGATGAACGGATATCAGGGCGCGTCGTACGTTGGAGAGCCCTAGTGGTGGGGGTCGTGTTTGATCGCTGGAGGGAAGAGGGGTCGTACTTGCCTCTGAAAGGAATGGTTTTGGCTGTTGTATTTTCTCATTTTTCCTGGGAGTAGCAGCTTCTAAACTTCTTCAAAAAAAGTGCACCGATTTTTGCTGATATCCAGCCATAACATCATCGAGCAAAACGCCCAATTCAGATCTCGTGTACTAGGAGTTCTTGCAAGGCTACAACGCCACATCAATATGTTCGTTCTATATAATTCATTCCCTGAGAGGCTTGGTGACAATACTAGCGCATATGTGCAAGGGTGAAAGAATACTCAAGGCAACAACTTTGTAGCAGATCAAGTATTTGGAAACATTTTCGTCCGGCTCGATTACTCTGGCCTTCTCTCGCGTTGATTTATGTTCTTCCGCCGTGGCACGAGAAGGTGGCCGCATTAGAAGCCTTCAAGACGGTTCCCTTTCCTTTTTTTCTACCTGAGCAAGTCAATTACCATATACACTTCTGTATCTCAACCACGCCACCTACGAACCTTTCGCTAGCGGGAAGTCCGCCTTTCTTCCCAGCATAGTCTCTTCAAATACGCACACACGTCTGACATTCAAGGCAACTATATGGAAGGTATCGAGGCCATAGTCGTTTACTGAATGACTTTGAGAATGGGTTAGGGTACACTCGTAGATAGAAGAAGTTGAATGCCTCTCAACTGACGCTAGGTCCTACTTTGGGTATCTATTAGATACCTACGGGTCCTAATCATATACCCCAATCACACCTGAATGTCACAGATATCTTACAAAACTTATTTTATATTGAAACACTCGAATTTATTACTAATATCTCAGAATTAGATGATCACATATGTTAATATTATCACGCTGAGTTAATATTATCACAAGAATGCTGAGTTATGGGCAAAAATCATACTCCAGGCGGGAGTCGAACCCGCACCTCACGCTTTAAGGCTACGGCATAAAAGCCGTTAAGCTGAGAGGGTAAAAGCGGCCCTGGTGGCGTAACGGATAGCGCACTCGCCCGGAAAGCGTGAGGTGCGGGTTCGACTCCCGCCTGGGGCACGACTTTTGCCCACAACTCAGCATTCTTGTGATAACATTCGGAACGCGTACTGCGGCGTTAAACAGCAGTTATCATAACAAAACATATGTTATTGATAGGCTTCCAAGGCAAGTAACTGAAAGGTAGCACACCGTACCACGCCACCTATCACATCAAGCCTCCGCGCACATCAGCGACCTTACGCGGTGGCGCGATGATGTGAAAAGTACCCAAAAGAACTTCTTCTCGAATCACTACGAATTCATATCGATTTTAAAAAGAATACACTCCTAAGCTGATTCAACCTCGCTGGCACAAACGACTTACATCAAATTAACACTTTTAAGCACTCAAGCAACCGAAAGAGAATAGTGCAGGAGGCGCTAATAATAACGGGCGATCACAGTCGGTATAATCAGGACAACTCTGCAAACGTCACTGAGCATTAACTTCACAGATATCACTTTTCATTGCTATTCAGGAACCACTGCATCATATACAATACAGCCGGTGGACCAGTTGGTTCTTCTGCTCGAAGTAGAGACGGAATCGCTGAGCACGGGACAGGGAACTAAACGACATTCCATGAGTTTTGACAAAGACTGAAGCACTGAAAAGGTTTTCTGCCAACGCAAATAGAACTAAATTCCGAACTTCGGGGCTATCACAGTGATGTAGGAGGCTCAGTGTAAGAAGGTGCGAAAAAAGACAATGAGTAAAAGGATTGAGTTTTTGGCTGTTCGTGAGAGGGGAGGCAGAAGCACAGGGAAGATGATCCACTTCTTTTGCGGGAAAATTTATTTCAAGCCCTAGGATGCTTGGACCAAAATGCTGTTTTCTTGGGACGGCGACGGGGCTCGAAATTCTTCTATGAATATTGTAGAAGAAAAATATGTTCCGGTTATATCTCCGACCACATCTTTCCAGCGAAAGCATGATTGAGGTGCTTTAAAAGCCTGTAGAGTGCCGCGAAATCGCAATAAAAGGTGTAGCTGAGCACATCCGGGGCGTGGTGAGAACGACGGAGGGGTGCGCTGGTCATTGAACTATAAGCCTCCCTACCGACAAAAAAACAGTCAACGGTGCCACTTTCATTAGTTTTTGATTGTCTTAGTTCGGGCGCGAAGCGTAAGCAACACGCCACTCTTTTCGCATATTGGTATCAGAATGACACCTGTGCTCAACCTGGTTCTCGACGAAACACTGAAAATCAAGTCGTAATATTAAGTTCTTCGGGCTTGCGATTGTTTCTGCGTAAAGCGGTATTTGAGGCAGCAGCTGCATTTGCCGAGCCAAGGGGATGATACCAACTAAGGGACCATGAATGAGTGGACCTCATTTTTGGTGTGAAAAGGGTTTTGGAGGGCAGAAATTTTTTTTTGGACAGGGAGTACTTCACGTGGCCCAGCGTTATTGGAATGCGCTCCCGAGAGCGATGACTTATCTAGGCAGTGACCATAAGTTTGATTCGTTTCAGCCCGTAACAACAACAGTTCATTACTACTAGCTAGATTAGTGAGAGGTTAGTTATAACTAAAGGAACTATGCTTAAAAAATCTCCAGTACCCGGGTGATATCCTCGAATGGAGTCAGCATGCCTTCTCTCGGCACTCGATTCGTTGATCACTCTAGCGTAGTATGCTCGCTGCCGATCCCCGGCAAAACTTATCCCAACTCTGAAATATGGTGAGAGATTGATCAGCCTTCAGACTTCGGAGACGGCGCGCGTCGACGCGAATTAGTGCGCGTCGACGCGAGGTAATGCGCCCGTCGAGCAATTAGTCGCGCGTCCGACGCGAGGTAATAGCCGTTAAGCGGCGCCTATATGTCGCCAGGGCGCTCCAATTCTTACTGGACGTTGAACGCAGATTAGCCGCAGACGCAGGAATTCCGTCGGCGCTTGCAGCGCTTGTGTTTTGAGAGAGTATAGGATAAAGGAGGAGAGGCGCGCTGCCTTCATACAATCTGGTACTCTCGCATTCTTCTATACTTTCCCAGAGCCCTATTCTTCTATACTTTCCTCACGGCAGATAATCTGACTGCGTGATTAGGCTCACTCCAGTTTCCCCATACTCTCTCAATAAAGAAGCGACCAGCGCCGTTTGCGGCTGAGTTGGCTTCCACAACACTGCAGCGTTGTGGCAATCGTACCGCGTTGATGCAGGTTACAGCGCATCGACATGAGTCTGACCTCTGCCTTACAAACAACTAGACAATGGCAACTACAATCAAGAACTCACATGAATGAGGTCACGAAACGAATGGACTGAATATTGTAGCCACATTTTTTGGCTACAGCATCCTTCACTCGCTGTTCAATTTCGTCCACCGAAGTGCCCGTTTTGTAATGCCCACTGCACATTTCCAAGGTATATGCCCATTCTAATGGCTGTGATTTCCAGTCAATCGCATCGAGCAAAATGCCCGCTTTGGAGAGATGGCGTGCTCGACCGATTAAAGCAGCTAAATGGATTATTTTTCATCAATCAAAGAACAAACTGAATGATAAATCGTCTAGAAAGGATTCGAGCTATCAGTGTTAAACGAAAAACAACAGTTGGAACTCTTAACTGAAAACGACTCAACAAATAATATCTCCGTTATTTCATCTCCCTTACACCCAATTATTTCGGAGTTAGAAGCCACTCCAACTGACATGCACTGCGGCAAACAGGCTGGGACATTTGTAAAGCTGGAAGGGAAAGGGGGACGCGGCAAAACCAGGTCATACCAAATGGAATCGTCCATGCTCTCTAAAGCTGAGCGTTGGAAAGGTATGAGATCGCTAACTCGATGAAAAAGCGCAGACGAGCAGGTTTAGTCCCACCGTAGCATGCTTCTCTCTGACTAGACAAGCTCCTCATTCTAATCAACTACTGCTCAGAAACATACCCACGATTGCAAAATGCAGATAGTGCGGTACAAAAACCAAAGGATAACTGTTAGTTGTACTTGCGTAAAATAGCAAAACAAACCGATCAATACACCACACGAAAGATCATTGTTTGTTTTAGCCATAGTATGAGCACACAGCTAAGAAATCCTGAGCCTGCAAAAGTTAAGAAATGGCGAGAGAGAACGCAGACGAACGATACAGCACCGTCACGCAACTACTGGGAAATTAAATGAGGTAGGCGGGGGCAGACCACATAGGGCGGAGGCTATCCTTTGTGGAAGCCTCTAACTTCCTTGTCAAGCACATCTGAGTCCTCGAAGTGGGACACACTGCCTTCACGGACTGGCCTACTTTGCGCAAATGAGGTGTTTCACAAATCAGATAACTGCGGACTGTTTTGTTGGTGATTTTCCGGAACAGCAAAATTTCATACTCTTTCAAGCGAAGTGTAAGGATAATACCTGGTCGAAATCGTTGCGTCAGCAATAACTCCATAGTGGTCTCATTATACAGCAGGATAGAGAAACTGTCGTCACATAATGCCAAATCCCACGTTCGGCATAGAGGACCCTTGAAGAAACTGCATTTTCAGTATAAAAAGAAAGCAAAATAACATACAAGTGTAAACTGCATCCGATGAGGAACAAATCGCCGTGATGATGGCACATTCTCGAACTCAAAATCTGTCATAGGTATAATGTCGATAGGTGTCCATTTGTAGGCGCCTGCCTGAAAACCGGAAGCATTCAGATGGATTTCAATTCTGCACAGAGTTTGTCCCCTTACATGTTATTCACCGTTGGCTCAGGTATCTTATGAGGCGCCTTGTTAGATTTGTGTGCAAACCACCACAGCAATGCATAAAGCATGGAAGGAGGTCCTGAGCTATAGTCGTTATTAACGTATTCAAGAACTTCAGACTCGCTCAGAAAAACCTGAAAAACACATGTACTATTGGATGACAATTGATAATAAAGACATTTTTAAAGCAGTGTTCGGATTTTGTACTGAAACAAAAGATTCTAAGAAGTGAATGAAATATTTCAACAACAATAGCGGAGTTCCTCCAAGTAATCTCTTGCTCTTCCTTCCAAACATGCAAGTTTTTGGTGTGTATGGGTCAGGAGATCCAAGACACGGCGCATGTAGAAAACAACTAAGTCTAGGGAATGCTTTGAACTTCCCATGGAACTTTGAATAGAGACTGCATAGCTTATCATCATAAGAGCCTCGAATGCTGATTACGAATATGCAGATTAAAAGTGCTACGGGGACTTCCCAGACGAGATCTGGGTGGTCAAAGTTTGAGTCTGGCTCGTAAGCGCTGCTGATCGATGCCTCGAGTGCCCAGTGCGCCTGCGGTGGTAACATCTCGCTTTCATAAACGTAATGCGGTTTGCCATTCGTTGGACGCGAAATATTTGCTTCCGCTCCGGATTCGAGAGCTCCAACTCAATTCTTCGAATATCTTCGAATTTAGCGGCGCCAGCCAGCAAGTAGGCAAGTACATCAAGCGACACTACACGCTGATCTAGTAGGCACGTTCATCGCTTGTAGCGCTACAGCGTCGCGCTACTGCGTCGCGCTACTGCGTCGCGCTACAGCGTCGCGCTACAGCGTCGCGCTACACCGTAGCGCTACAGCACCGCTTCGCAACGTACTGCCATTTCCAACGTTAGGATGATTAGAGTTGCTTACAGAGAAAAGTGGGAAGGTTGCTGGAGTTATTCTGAGAATATTCACCGGAAAGGGTGAATACAGCTGTATACTATTAGGTTGCTAATAAGTAATGGCGGTTTTTTTCAATTGAAAAATTTGTTCGAAAAGTGAAACGTTTTGCAAGCAAGTTATATATCATCTGATAGGAAACTTCTCGTAGTATAAGAATATCAAAAAAGCTTTGGTTGAGGATATAGTTTTTGTGGATTTTTCAGTCGTTGAAGTTGGAAGTGAAGTCGCCGAAAATTAGCACCTTCGACAACTGCCTCTATTTAGAAATTTCATGCTAATAGTTGAATTAATTGAATATGAATTTGATATTCTAATACTACGAGAAATTTGCTATTAAACGATATTAAGCTTGCTTGCAAAACTTTTCACTTTTGGAACAAATTTTTCAATTGAAAAAACCGCCATTACTTATTAGCCAACCTAATATCTGACCATCCTTGACAGTTACTCCATTAGTCACTATTTTCTGGTACTGCTTTTAGCGTAACAGTGTCCTTCTGTCCTATTAAGAGCATTTTCTGCAAAAAACACCCAAAGAGTACTCGCGCCACCTAAAAACACGCACGCATGTTTTTTTGGAGACACAAGAACCATAAAGGACGTCTGTTTCATCGTGCTCAACCGCTCTGTGATGCAGACAGTTCTCGGTGCCTGTTCAGCCGATAAGGCCATTTATTTCTGCTGCCGACAAATGCGACTCAATACTGATACTCCCCTAGGCCAAAAAAAGTACAAGAAACTGTCAGGCTTTGTTGGCTGTGAATGCCTCGAAAACCGGCATAAATCTTTTTCCTGTGATCCAGGCAGAGATTGGGGGCAAACTCTGAAAGCAGATTTCGCTCCATAATCGATAAGCGGCATAGGATTCTGTATTCATTCTTTCTATATTCAATCCTCTTCTCTTTGTTTCTCATATTTATCTAATAGTGAGCTCCTGTTTTCTACTTTATCACATTTTAATGTAGTTTCGCAATCGGGATCAAAACGAGGCAGCACTGCAAGACATCAAGCAAAGCCATCAAACATCAAGCAACTGTGAAACCAAATAATTAAAGTCAAAAATGATAAATAAAACCAATTATCACAGTCTTCTGTATCAAAAACTACATCAAAATGTGATAAAGTAGAAAACAGGAGCTCACTATCAGATAAATATGAGAAACAAAGAGAAGAGGATGATATAGAAAGAAAAATAAAAGCTGGAGTACTGTAGCGCGACGCTGTAGCGCGACGCTGTAGCGCGACGCTGTAGCGCGACGCTGTAGCGCGACGCTGTAGCGCGACGCTGTAGCGCTACAAGTATGAACGCTGCCTTACATGGCATTTGGTCATATCGGCCCCCCTCTGAACAATCATATTACCTCATCCGACAATTCAAGAGTTTTAGCGAGTCATTCAGTTCATAAGGAAATTTGCGACCCTGAAAACTCAATATAACATCCTTCGACCAAAAAAGCTCTGTACTGGCCCAATTAGCATCTGGGGCAAAATTTTGAATTGTCGGATGGTAGTATGTTCAGGAGAGGGAGATATAGCCACACTCCATACGAATCGAGTACGAGTCATCGTTATACTTGATGTACTTGATCTACTTGCCCTGCTGGGCCGTAAATTCGGAAGAATTTCGAAAATTAGAGTTGAAGCTCTTATACGGAGCGAAGCAAAAATTTTCGCGCCAACCGGATGCAAACCCGCATGCGGTTGACTTGAAAGCGGACCGTTAGCCGAGGCCAGTAGGCACTGCCGATGCGATAAGATCAGCAGCGCTTACGACCAGACTCAAACTTTGACCACAGATCCGTCTGGAAGGATCGCCCGTAGCACTTTTAATCTGCATATTCGTAATCAGCATTCGAGGCTCTATCGATGTACCTAGGTCTCCATTCAAAGTTCCATGGGAAGTTCAAACCATTCCCTTGTAAGCTTGCCAGCGTTCAGACTTCGCGACGGCTGCCCTTGGTTGCGCGCTCCGACGCGATCGATGCGCATGCCTTTTCAACTGTCATCGAATATGCGTCAAGCGCGCGAACCGAAGCCGCTGCGTCGCGAAGTCTTGAACGCTGCTTAACGTGCTTGGATCGAAATTTGAGTACCGAGATAACTAAGTCTGCGCGAATATTGGGACAGACAAAGCCATCGAACTCAAAGCGGAATGCAATGAAACTTTTCGATTTTGCGCTCTTTACCAGAGCTCCAATATGTAGAGCTACCCGGCGTTAACGTAGTTGGGAGGGGCCACGCGGCTCGCAGCGAGCGATGGCTCATCGACTCATCTGCTCTTCCGTTCTCTCCTCGGCAAAATAGAGCTTAATATCGCTGTTTACGGACATTGATATAACTTAGGCGCCTAGGCTATTAAAAGTTAGCAATCCGTAACACTGAATGTTGCAACGAAACAGTTTTAGGCTGCAAGGTTCTTGCCCTAAACTACAAAATTTTGTTGCATGTTTGTCGCTGACTGTTATTGTTGACTACAAAAAAATCAAATTTTCAGCTTCTGTGGAATTCTTCAGCAAGTTCCCGGTGAATCTTGTTTGTTTTATTCTGATTTGGCTGCTAGATTCGCGTTTCAAGTATGCCGATGAGTGAAGAGCCGATGAGTCATCACTCGCCGCGAGCCCCCTCCCAACTACGTAAGCACCGAGCTACCATTTGCGTGTCAATTTAGTTTGCTCCTTAGGCCGCGTTCATGCTTTGCGACTGAGGAGATAGAGCGATCCGGCTATTTGGGAGGCTCAGCGCTTCCGGCGATTGCGCGCCAACGGAGTGGATGGGTATCGATCGGCGCCGGTCGCTAGCGATTGCGGAGTCGGCGAAGGGAGTGTGAGCGGTCCGGCCATTCAAGAAACTCAACGATCCGGCGTTTTGGAAGATCGCCGTATGACGGAATCTGTCAAATCACCCAATCTTCTTAGCCGCAACGAATGAACGCAGCCTCAAGCGAATATCGCGCATGCCACGCTACAACTGGGACCTCCTGACGTATAGTTGATATCGTTGCAATTAGTCGGGGCGGTACAAAGAGGGATGGAATAAATCCACTGGCAACCTTTCACCAGGGGTTGTTTTCTTCCTAGATCGACCACCTACCAATCACTGATGGTAGAGAGAGGCAGCCCGAGGCGGGCTCATTCCGCCTCTTCTGACACCGCCAACTGATTACGACTATATCAGCTATAGAAAGTTTTCTGACAATACGAAAAATGCGCAACTGCTTCGAGATGCGCCAACCTTTGTGATATATTCTCCTTCGCTGACGTTTCCTCCACCTTCCGTTATTTTCATGGAATCATCGATTTCGGCATAGAAAAGGTACTGGATTCCACCTGACTCATGGGCCGCAATGCTGAAAATATACTATTGGATTCGAACAAGATCTGCGTCCCCAAGCAGTATGGGGCGCAAGTCTTATAGAGGGGTATTTGGAAGACTTCTTCGTAGAACCTGGAACGCTGCACTGTAGCTGAGGAATATGTGGGGCGGAAAACAGCCCCGTGACAGACTTCCTTTTCAAAAAGGGGAACATCGTATCACGGTAATCACAAGGAGTCCGCTGAAGGTCCCCTCCCCACACCCTTACGCGACTTACCGTCAAAGTGGCAGAACTACATTAAAGGCAGCTGGCACGATAAGTCCCTAAGACGAGTAGGATTAATACGCCTGGCAGGACGGAATTCCCCTGAGCAGGCGCTGCGTAGCGCCTTTTCCAAGAAAGGTACCCTTATAAGGCCCTATCAAGCTGCAACATACCGACCCGGACGCCCACCGCGCCCGCCCGCCCACAAATGGACGACCGTACCTGATGCTCGTATTGCTTCATTTGCGAAGTAAAATATGAAGCGAAGGGATTGGTATGAAGCGGCCGCGGTGCTGCATGGATATATGGGTACATACGTGCAGCCGTATCTACCGTGACGGCACGAGAAACCCACGGGAAACTCGTCCGAAATTGCTTATTGAGCCACTGAGAACGAAGGCCTTTCTTCGCAAGTTTTTAACCGTTTTCGTTTTTTCACCATTTCCCCCTTTATAGCACCCTGCTAGCATTTCAGGTCGCGTATCAAATTATCGTGCCATAGCCTTTGATCATACCTGAATGTGGCTATCAAATTTAGATCCTCATTTTTAACGAAATAACCACATTCCTCTTCGATTTCTTCCCTGGTTATATCCGCTATAGAGATATTCTGAAGAACAATTGTCATTCAACAAAGTATGAATACAAGGAAGTAAAATCAAAAGGTTACGTCACCTTATCGACCAGACCAGCGCACAGCTCCAAGGTGTAGCCATGAGACGCCTCCAGTTAAGTCGCGGACCATTGGTGATTTCAGCGAGTTTCTTACCTCGAAGTTTATTACAGCGTTGTCGCTGAAATGGCCCAACGAAGCACGAGCTGACAATGATAAAGACAATGAAGAATTGAGGCCAAATGGAGAAAAACAATGACCAGATTTAAACAAATATTCACCATGGTCGAAACGCCTACACAAAAAGACAAACTTGCTTGATGCGGTGTGATACAGAAGGACGGCCACACTGCAGTGTCGAAGTGCAAGGTCGAAATTTCGTTTACGACCATTCTAAAAGGATCCAAAGTGATCACTATCTCGACGAGGAGGTGCGCCAGCAGACTTTGGCCCGCCACCACCGTGCTGCTTCTCAGTGTCCAACGATGTTCGAGATGAACGCAGCAAGAATGCGATAGGGGGGGGGGGAGCGCCAGCAGCTCGGTTTTACTGTAACGACACCTAAGCACCAACCCACGTGTGCCTTGCCTCAGAAAAAGCGCCTCCGAAATCGCGGAAGAGGAGACTAGCTTTTGAAGGAGACGATAGGACTTTGGCGGATAGATGGAGACACGCATCATACTGAAAGTTGTCGCAGTTGTCAGGTAGGGACGCCATTTGGGCGAAGGGAGCTGCAGGAGAAATGAAACCGCGGAATTATTTGTACGCCTCTGCGGGCGCGGGTCTGCACTCTGCCCGCCTAAGCCTTGCTTAGAAGGAAGAGACGCAAGGGGCGGTTGAAATAGTGTGCGCGCCCTCAACTCAATTAAACTCAGATGGATTAAGACAAGCGGGCACTACATGAACTTCCTGCCACGCCTTAAACAAATAGGCCGGTGTGGATTTACGAGCTTTTTTCCCACGGGAGCAGCAGATTTGACCGCCCTGAAAATTTGCCAATGGAGGCAGTTCGACCTCCTGGAACACGAATGTTCAATCACATCGTTAGCCCGAAAGATGTCTGCGCGCTCGCGCCACAGACGCTGGCGGGCGAAACCCCTAACATCAGCCAAGTCGATGAAAACTTATATGCAGCGACATTACTCACATCCCTGCCCTAACGCAACATGAGTTTACTCCTGGCGCCGGCGCTACATGATCATCTGCCCACTATGCTGTGGCGGCGGCCTGAAGGAAGTCACTCCTTCTTCCAGCGCGCCTTTTAGAGAGGGCTAAATGGCCGCTGGTCGAAGAGATAAAATGCCTAGTATTCGCCTGACTGCAGCACCAAACTACCCTACTACGCCCAAGTTTTATCGGTTTTTGGTGGAAAAAACCGGTGTGGCCCGCCAAATGGGGGCGCCCGCCGAAAATGAATGTCATATCCATGTATTTAGGACATCGCATTAACATCCAATAGAACAGAGCCTCCAGCAAATTTTTTTTGGGTTTTGGGGATAGGAATACATTTCAACAGTGTCGGACAATCGCGCTAAACATGCCGCAATTGGTCGGGGCCATGGGACGGCGGCGCGCCGCACAGATAGAAAGGTCGCGTCTTACCAGTCAACCATCACGGCAGCCCTAAGAGCATGCGTCAAGGCAGGCGGCCGCCAGGAAGAATTTGTTTATTGAAATTAAGCGCTGGAAGTTATTATTTCGAACACCAGGGCCCCCATCATCACTGATGGGGATTCATTTCGAGTCCGTACGACGCCCCCATTTTTTGGGGGGGAGGCGGGGGTGGGACGATCCCCCCCCCCCCTCCGACCCTCTGTTCCTCCTCATCGAATCGAGCCGTCGAGCGGGTGGGGGGGGATACGTAGTACGCATGAAACAAGAAAATCAAAAAGTCAATCATCCCTCCTACCACGCCAACACGTAAATACAAATACGATACCCCCTCCCAACATTGAGCAAGTACGACCCCCCCTCCCTTTACAAAGCCCGTGAAGCGAGGTAAACCAACTATCAAAATAAATTTTTCTCAGCCCAAATACGACGAACCCCCCCCCCTTATTGAGGGATTTCCCCAACAGACGATGTGCCACCTGTTCAGATTAAGCTCAATGGTATAAGGCAATGTGATGCCCGTGCGATGGTAGGGGACACGAACTCAACGTGCGCGCCGACGATGAGATTAACATTGTTCACAGTCTGCGAGTCCAGCGTTTTTCGCCTATCGAACCGATTCTCACATTTATTGTTTTCGCCCCCAACCGGCCGGAACCGCGGCGGGTTGGCCCAAAATAGCGCGTTGGCAATTCCTCGATCGCATGACTATTTGTTGCTTCCGCCGCCGGGCTTCGTCAGGGTCGCAGACTGTGGACAATACCTTATCATGTCTGGCTGGTTAAACTTGGGCGTTCAAGGATAGGAAGGATTCGCTTTACCGTCATGGACTCTTTTCTGCTCTTGAAGTGTAGCTCTTCCTCTAAGTTTCGCTGCTCCAATCGACAAACTCATGCATATCGAGAATTTGCCACGCATTCCGCATGACTTTCCGCGCGCGACAAAATGCTATTGTCTTGTCGGTCCGCCGAATATAGCGGTACTTTTTGGCACAGCATTTGACCAATCAAAAAGAAAAGCGCATCTGAGAATATTTTACCTGCGTAAAAGTGAACTTGACTCCTCTGAGATAAGGCGACACAAAATTCTCTATGAATGAAACATTTTCGAGTTTTTCTTCAGGAGATGGCGTCATTCGGCGCGATTTTCTGCAACAATCACAAACTTTCTTTCGATAGGTTTCGATGGGACTGATAATTCACCGTGAAAAAGAATTCCGATAGATGATAACCGAGCTGGAAGGTGAGAGCAACAGGAAATTCTTCAATGGTGACTCTGTTTTCAAGCTTAAGAATAACAGTCGCGTAATTCTCATTCGAAGCAGAAATTTGAAGGAATAGGGATTAGAAAATTGAGCAGAATGGAGACTCCAGTGTTTAAACTGGACATTGATGTGACAGAACAGCCGACGAACAGTGAACGACACGTGTTGACACCCTCTGGACCGGGATATACTGCCGCGGTGTAGATCGCGATTCCTCACAATGGGTGTCCGGCGGGAGGAAAACTTAGGACACCTTTGAGGTTCCAATGAAAAAGGAAATCGTACCTACACTGAGCTCGTGTTAAGTGGCAAAGAAGCTGAGGTACGCCGGCCAGCGGGTGTTGAGGTCCATGTTGGTCAAGGAGGTTGAGGGCGCTTGGGCGACGGGTAACAGACACGGTAGTCGAGGAAGGGATGTGTTTCTGACGTGCTTCCAACTTTGCTGATCCGATCTCTCTCCCTTATTAGCTCCCACTTACTTCGAAATGGAGAGATGGAGAGAGTAAGTAGCGACAACAATTGCACATCCAAATTAGTATTTAGGTGTTCAAGTCCCCCCGCCCCTGTTTTGATGCCTTCCGTACTTTCGTTGCCATGCGAGGTGGTATTTTGGCCATAGCGGTGTGCGAGACGTGTACATGATACTCTTCACCACACTAGCTATCACTCACCCAACCTGCATTTGCGGGCTACAATGCCGCACAATTACTAGTGCAAAACCATGTCACAGAGGTGATTGTGCGGCATTGTGGCTTCTTCGGGTCAGGGCACATCATTGGTTGGGGATTTTGGTGAAGCTCCGTACGACCCCCCCCACTTTTCGGGGGTTCGGGTAACTACCCCCCCCCCCTATACACTTATGACTTATGAAGTTTCTCTCCCCCCCCCCCCCGGGGGGGGGAGAGGAAGAAACTTCATAAGTTTATGTATAAGTGAGCGCGAAAAAAGGAAAAAGTAACAATCCTGAACGAGGCCCCCCTCGCTTTTTGCTCATTTCTATCCTGATTCAGAAAAGAGAATAGAAAAGAAAGGCCATTAGGTTTCCTTTCCTCGAGTCAAAACAAACTCTGGTACCTGAATCAATTGCAATTAAAAGAAAAAAAAACAGGAAATTAAGCCAACCTCCTCCTAAGAGCACTTTGAGCGGTCCAAGCAAAATTGCTGGGTGCGCTCTGACGCGTATTCGAGTAAACTGAGAAGAAGATAAGTAATCGATATTCGAGTAAACCGAGAAGAAGATAAATATTCGATATTCGAATAAACAGAGAAGAAGATAAACACGAATGAGTAAATACGAACGAGAGCAAAAGCGAAATCAGCTGATTAAAGGCCGAGGTACCGGGGGAGGGATTCTGGGCAGGACCTCCAGCCGCGCAAGGTGGTTGCAGGTGGTTTGATTGGAGCGCGGACTTTCAGGAAAGTGGGGTCTTTAAAGGACCATAACTTCCGTAATAGCGGACCTTTGGGAAAAAGAAGAACGCAGTGGTATGGAGAAGATTTTATCTTTCCAAAACATACTAACATGTACATAAAGATCGCCGATTTCATGTAGAAATTTGCGTGGGGATTATTTAGGGATTTCATTTTTTGGATAGTTTGCAGCGCGATTTTTACAGGTTTGAACCAAGATATTTCCCTTGAACCTCAATAGTTTGGGAATCTGAAACTACTGTCGAGTTCTAGAAGATTTGCTCTTTCCAAAAACTACTTGAACGTTTTTTGAAGCTTTCCGGGAGTCATGAAGATCCAGTTTCGTTGGGGATTTATTTGGGGAACACTCCGAACTGTTCGAAAGTCCGTTTTCTGTGTACGGTTTCAAACCGAGCGTGTTCGAATAACCAGAAATACAAGTAGAACGTATCCTGAGGTGGACGCAGGCACAGAATGTGGTTGTTTAGCAGTCAATCATGCTAACTTTGTGCCGCGCATTGAGGTCCGCAGCCAGAGATGATGGATGGCTGCAATTGGTGGCGCGCATGTTCTGTCCCACGAGCAAACGTGCGCTATAAGGATTCAGGAAGGTCCAATGGGAACGCTGTGCAGCATTGTTAGCAGTGTTTGTTGGCGTGTGATCGAGCGTGTCCTGTCGCGACGCCGCCCGATTCGTGTGCCGGCAATTGCTGCTTCCGATGAGGGACAGTTGCTCGGAAAAAACTGCGGAATAGAACGATATGGTAGTCCTGTCGTTCGTCGAAAAAAAACAGGTTGGCTCAGCGCCAAGCGCGATC